ATATAGCCATTAGCAAAAATTAAGGCGGTTTCAATTATAAATACAAATATATCAAAAGTATATCAGACAGGGCGGGATATCTTTCTTGAATATTTATTTCAGAAAGCCCTAGTGATAGATAACCCGGAAAAAAATATATCATATAGATATTTTTATAAAATATATAGATATTTTCTTCAATGTTATTGTCATTCGGGGATTTCTTATTTTGATAGTTTGGCGTATGCTTCTCTGTGTACTATAATTCAAGGGTCAATCTCATATGTTATGTGTCTCCTGAACTTAGTTTGACCCAGGCTGACCCAGATTTTTAACAAGAAATGTTGCATTATATCAGTTGACTATTTTTCACGTTTACCGACTGAATATAGTTGTCACGAAGCTTTTGCTTCAATGTGCTGATGACCACAGATCGCTCGCCATCGAAACTATTCCAAATTTAAGTAATGAATCAATGATAGATGTGTTGATCATCACAGTGAATGAGCGATCTAAGCGAACGCTGTAAAGAAAGACTTGAAAAAGTGATTTCAAGCTTCAACGGGAATCGAACCCCGTAATGAATCAATATCACTGGTCATGTGGTTGTTTTAGCCTCTGTATTTAACATAGATTTTCATTTTGGTTTTCAGAATAACCCAAGTCGAACATTAACACAACTTGAATCAAATTTCTTTGACGTCTCAGTCGGGCTAATTGACTTTTAGTGGTGGAGATTCCTGTTACAATCAGAAATGTTAGGCTGTAATTAAGAAACACAGCAAAGCTGAACGTTTATTATTTGAATGGCCTATAATTTTGCTAAATAAAAAACATAATTCTGTAATTCTATGTGACGCTTGGTTCTAGAATTCTCTTGAAATAAATCTTTGTTTAGCGTGACTTTATAATTATAGCGTTACTTTGGGAAGCGCCATGTTCAAGTTAGACTAAAAGCCATACAGAAGAAAGTTGATGCCCAATAAGGGGCAAATATGCTTTAAAACTCTTCTTTTTGAGCACAAAGGAGCAGAAATTTGAAACAGTGTTCAATTCTGAAGAATATTTTGACAGATGGCCCTTGGTCTAAACGCTTCGGCGACTTAAACACAATGATCTGACGTGCCAAAAATTCGATAATATACTTGCTTTAGCAATGCAATGTGGGATAGTAGTCACTGCTCCTCTGTATATATACATATACATATTTCAGAAACTGGGGTACCGTTTACCCGTGAAAAAGGAACAAAATGAAATAATAAGGTCAATTAGGCTACTGACTATTTCATGGTCCTTTGTGTTCCTGGCCTCCCAGCGGTACAAAGGAATCGTGGAAATACAATAGAAAAATAGGGAAATATATATATAAATATATATAAAAATATATATCAATATATGTCAAAGTTTTAGCGATCCGGTGTATATGTATGTATATATAATATACATATATTTTGATATATTTTGTTTTTTCATATGGCGGAAGATATTTTCTTATTTGAATTCAAACTTCTTGACATAGGCAGCAACTTGCCGCCACATGAAATTATACATAATGTTCGCAAAAAAACATTACGCATTGCTATCCTCTACAAATCAAATCTAATCAGTGTAATCGCAAATATATAAATTGAAACATTTAACTGAAATGAAGCAAGGACATAAAGAAATATATAAAGCGAACATTTAATACTTGAACATGTCTTTTATCTTAGGTTGTTTTAGGTGCTCAACAACAACATTAGAAAATCAAACGTTCTAAGCATGAAAATGATATTTCTGGTTTATAAAAAAGAATACGATTCATGGATACATCTTTTTCTATCCAACATTTAATTTGTAAGAAACCTTTACATAGCCATACGATCACATATTATGACAAACGCTATTATTTAAGAAGAATAACCTACCTTTAGACGGAAGAAAAAGCAATACACCGAGAACACAGATAGTGTAAATGTTTCCCATTTGAAAAGTTTCAAGTTTATCAGTATGTCTTTCCGAACTGAAGAAATTCATATAAAAAACGTACAGGAAATAAGGCAAATAGCGAAACAAGCTGCTTCATAATGAAAAGTTATTTATGCTGATCATTACTTGGCTGAAGTTGACCTTTTATGCTCGATCACTTTATGTAGATTATATCTTGTAACGCAAACATGATAAGGCTTGTTTAAAGCATTTAACAACAGAAACACAGAATATATTGATCGTAATAAACTCCTTCCATTTTTTGTTTTTATTTTTTATTTCATTTTTATTCATATTTTTGGAGGGTTTGCAATTTGTTTTCTTATTATTCCTTTTTAATTTAATGTTTTATAATAGCATTGCATACTTAGAGTGAAACTCTGATCCAGCCAAGTATATAGTATATAATTATATCGGGTGCATTATGGGTAATATATAATAATGCCATTATGTCTGCTGCGTGTGTATGTATGTAGGTGTGTGTGTGTGTGTGTGTGTGGGGGGGGGGGGTTAAGACCCTAACGGCTGCTCTAAGGAGGATAGGCTTCCTCTCCAGTGTACAAAAAAACAGGGCCTTTAAACTACCTGCTGTTCTCAGTTCCCTCTTTGGCCTCCAAACCGCTAGTAGCATCGTCGGCGCAGTTTTCCTTTCCTGGAACGCGCCGCCATTGCAAGGGGCCCGTCTTCTGTTGAATTTCTGATACTCTGTTCGCGACAAAAGGCCTTGTATCCAAAAAATGATATCCATGTTCTCTGAGAATCGAGCACCGACGACTGCCGCCATCAGCTCCAAACGAGGAATATTGATACTCCTGATTGGTGCAACCTTTGCCATTGCAGCTACGAAGGAAACTGTCACGTTGCCACTTCCGTACTCATGTCTAAGGTAGGTTACTGCAGCGTATGCTTTGTTGGAAGCATCTGTAAACTTGTGAAGGGAGACTTCACTCACTAGCAGCACACTAGGTGAACAGACCGCTGGAAACCCTGGGATTCCTCGGTTCCCGCCAGGATTCGTTGAGTGTGCTGCTATGGAACTTTAAACCCTTATTACTCGTCKCAGATCAAAATACCCAAAACAATCACTTTAAGCACGATTAGAACATTGTTTTAACTTCTCARTTYCTAAATATCKACGTTTTATTTTATATAGCATATGGTTTAAATATTTTTTGAAAGTTCTTTATATTTGATGACGTGCCACAGTTATTGTAACTTGGTAATAGAAGAAATTTCGTCAACATAAATTAATTAGAAAATAATACAATTTCACAGATTTACTTCTGGGTCTTCCTAATACTAAAATATGAGCAAATTCGATTTTTCGACTGTTGCCTGCGTATGTTCGATTTTTTTGCTGACATCCTCTCTTAAGGGATTAGAAACGATGTTGCAACGGCGTTTGATTGTTAAGGTCAATGGCGCTAGCTGTTCGTTACGAAGGTATTAGTTATAAAAGTCGTGGGGCTCCTATTAGGGTTAGCGTTAACTGTAGGAAGCGAAAAACTCCGTTATAATACATGATGACTTGCAAGAACCTATTCAAGTATTTAGGAACCAACCACTAAGTTGTGGCAACCAGAAGATAGTAATATAAGAAGATATCTCAGCTTTTTGCAATATCTGTGGACAAATGATATTTAACGCAGTGCCTTGTGCGACTCTAGACCAATACTACCCCAACGGCGGTAGGCTAAGGACTCCATACAAAAAAAAAGGACTTCCGAGAGTGGATGAACCACATACAGGGGCGTTATCCTGTTTATTTAGATGACAGTACCAAATCCAGGATACTACACCGCATACGGGAGCCTACTATCAGTGCTATGCGTAAGCTACTAAAGTAACTGAAGTTAAATTACCAAGAGGATGTTTGAGCCCTCTTAGCGGAGGTTACCCAGCAACAAATACCTGAAGTGGTTATACATACGATGGCTAGAGCTGAAGACGCGTTTGCTAAGTATGGCGAGATAAGCTATTACCCTGACGTTATCTATGAGATAATCTACAAGATAAACCCCAACCATCCAATATTACCTTGGATAACGAGATAGACTCTCAGCTAGCGAAGCATTCTAAGATTTTGCCACCTGGTTATGTTGAACGTAAACCTAAGCCCAACTTGCCAAATGAATTGTTGCTTGTTACTATAGCACCTATCCAATACCTGCAGTCCAATTTGATAAGCATCCAAGCTTGGACCTAACGTTGAACATGCGGGTCTCTAGTGACCATTAATTTTTTGCTAAGGTGCGAGACATCTTCAGAGAAGTTCCTATAATCCATATCACCGCTAAGGAATCTCATGAATGGTTACAGGGTACTAACATGCGATACTGGCCGCAGCAACTAAATTTTGCAGTTTGGTGTGCCACCAGCGTCTGCGGCGTAAGTGCAAACGTGATGAAGACTTCGATACTCATGTTTCATTTCCACTTTACGATTAGGAGAATACTTTATCAGATGAGCGTTATTGCATTGCCAGGAGATACTACGTTTGATCCTAGAGATAACAAATACAATGTTCCTGGTGCCTATAACAGGCTTTGCAAGGAGTTCGGCGTTGTGAGAAAAGACTTTAGATGCACTGCCGATGCTAACAATGGTCTAGGTCACGTTTGAGCTTATTGGGGTATTGGTGGTCATGTGCTAAGTGA